AACACCACAGACAGCTCTCATTTATAATTCACTTGAACACATTTCTCAGATTAGGTTTCCCACTTTAAACAGATGACAGAGGTTATATTACTTTGCTGTACTTCACTAGGTTCTGATATCAAAACCAGTTCACTACTGAAATAACACCAATAGGACTCTCTCTCTTTGACAGAATATGTTACACGAGTTCTAACTCACTGTCCCTGTCCCTTAAAATAAAAGTAGACCTATTTCACTGGTTTTCAATCAATGCAAGCTGGGAGCAACAAGTTACCCTTTAAAAACATTTTGAATGACTTTTTTTGTGAGTTGCTAGCAAAAGGCCCAAATACTGCAAAGCAAGTGAGCAGAGACAATAGGATGCTTTGCAAAATCTGACAGCTCAAAAGGCATCCAAAGAGCAAGAGAACAAAACCCAGCCACTGTGGAAACTGCACTGAACTAGCTCTATGAAAATAGGGAAAAATTAAGAAGCTTCAGTATATAGTTACACAGAATGTTTTACTAGTGATACCTTTTGTCTGTTCAGGTAGTCACAAGGCGTTCATTACCATGACACAAACTGCAGAAGTTTTAATTTGAAAGTGTTACAGGAATGGGATATTTAGTTATTCTCATTAAGGACACTTTTTGAGGGACTGATCGCAAGGTCCCTTAGCTGTAACATGATTTTCTCACAATTAAGAAAGTTTGCACAGAAGGGGAAGAAGTTTGCACAGCTTAGAAGTTGAAGCTGAGAGCTTTCCAAAGCCACCCTTGACAAAAGACTTGGCTTATTTTATTTTCAGACATACACTGTATGAGGCAGCCAACACCATTCAATCCAAACATAAGAGCATTTGTAAACTTTCCCCATCAACATTAAAATTGCCAACCAAATCCTTGTGATTTCTGAAAAAAAGACAGTTTTTCTTGCTTATTGCTGTACTACAGGAAATGATGCTAGTTCTTGCAGGAGACAGTGCATGTTTCAAATTTCACATCTCTTACAAAAAGCCTCAGAGTCCCTTCACCAGGTGCTACTTCTGATCTGTACAGCAAAACTAGCATTCCATTTCTTCCAAATGAAACAGTCCCTTCAGTCCCTCTCCCTGCCCTGCATGTCTCAAGAGCATTTATGCCTCTTCACCATGGTTCCAACCAGGAGACAACAGCCCATAATGCATTTGTGACAGCCCCTCAAGCAACAGTGCACACTTCACTAAATGGACATGACCCCAATTAGATCTGTGAGAAAACACGGAAGAGGAACATAAAGAGGAAGGGAAGCGATTTATTCTCACTTCTCTTGAAGCAAACAAATGGTTCTGACAGCAGGTTTGTTTTCAGACAACTATAACTCAGGCTGACAGGCCAGCTTACTTAACAGAAGAAGCCCCTTCACACAAACACCAGAACCTATATTAAAAACATTTTTATTTCAATCTGCCTCTGAAATGAATGAAGATAATCTCAATGTTAAAGAAAAGTCTGCATTGCTACCACAAAAATCACATTGTGCAAATCCATGTCATTTATCTGCAGTGCTGAGTCACATGTGGTGGACGTGCCTTATTGAATACCACATCCTGGGAATCCTTCAGCACTTCCCCTCCTACCAGAACACTGCCTTAAAAAATAACTGCTACAGTGACATGATGAGAATTGATCTTTTCCTGCCATCTGCTGTATATGTATGTAAGACTTTCACAAACAATTGGCCAAAATTTGTGTATTACAGTTATTTCCCACGTCACAAATACTACACAAGCCCTTCATACAGGATATGCTGTCAAAGGACATGTGACCTCCACCTTCTCACTTCCCTACACCCCATCCACCAAGTAAAGCATTGCATGCTTGCAGGTATTGATTCAAAGTCTTCAGCTTCTGGAATGCAGCAGATAAGAGTTCTGCATCTTTCAGGGACTCAGAAAACCCCTGTTTAGTTCATCTGCTCAATGTACAACATCTTCAGTAAGTGCTGCCACCTTGTTCCGAGGAACAGTTAGGTTCACTTCACACCACAGAGGTGGTACTTTCCGGATTTACACGCATCAATCTTGAGGCATTTCTCAGATCCTGTAGCTGCTTGGCTGGCTTTCCAACTCCTTCCTCAAACCTTTTTTCCACAACAGGAAGGACAGTTTCATACAGGAAAGAGGCATTCTGCCTAATGAATGCTTTTTTCTCCGGGTCCTGTTCACACCGTAAACTGTAATCGACATGCTGGACAGCCACCAGGATGATTTCCACCAGACTCTCCAGGAGAACCATATGCAGCTCTGGGAAGTAAAGCTTTAATGCTTCCTCCAAGAAGGCCATAGTCTGCTTAGTGAAAGCTACTACAGTGTAACTGAGGTTGACCCAGCAGTCATCCCCTGTGTATTGGTCAAAATTGCCCACCCCACAGCTCCTCATCTCCTCCCTGAGCTTCCCCAGCGCCTCTGGAGTCATCAGGTTCATCCTTCTCCACATCTCCTCAGAGTTGCGGTGCTTGGTGGCCTCGATGATGATATCCTTGTAGCTCTGCAAAGCACCTTTGATATCCTTTACCAGAAGGGCGTGAATAATGAAGGTGAGATCCAGTCCAATCTCGCTCAGCTGCTTGCAGTGCTCTTTAGCCACCTGGGATAACAAAGAAAAGCAAAGGACGTTATTACTGTGCAGGCTCCCTTTTCATCTTACACATTTATCAAATTCATCTCAGAAAACCGAGAAGGGTTACTCATACTTATTTCTCGTGCTTTAAGAATCTTATTAATGAGAAATTAATAACTGAAAGATACACCCTGGCTGTCAAAAAAACTCTGGACAATTACACTATGTAACCCACACGCATAAGCTTTTTTTTCCCCCCTCCCAATCAGCAGCCGAAAGAAAGCATAACCGGAGAAAATTAGTCTTGCAAAAAAAGTATGAAAACGTACCTAAGGACAGCCTTGGAAAACAAAGAGAAAGTTTTGAAGTACTTATAATTCAGGTGTCGTTTATGTAAATTTTAGGACCTCCTACTAGTTACAGGTAAATTGAGAATCAACACATTTTGCATTCCTGATAAAGGCAGGGTTTTCCTTGGCCTGTATTATAACCTTAAGGATTTCCTCTGTTAAACTGAAAAAAACCCAAACAAACCTCGAATGAATATTAATCTTTCAACTCAGGAAACCTCTCTGGAGACCCACACAAGAGTCAACAACCAAACTAGAGTTAGAAAAGAGACTTTAAAGCTTTGAAGCCTTTGTTTCAGCTGCTGTGCCCCACCACCCACCTCTCTGGACTCTCTTACCTTGACACACTCTGCCGCAGTTGACAAACTCTCTTTGCTATCAAACACTTGCTTACTGAAGGCATCTACAAACATCCTCATGGACGAGCGGGCCCAGACAACAAACGCCGAGTAGCAGCCGTTGTTGCCGGCGAAGTCCGTCTCAAACTCCCTGGCCGTCTCCAGGAGGCTGGTGAAGAAGACGTGGCAGAGCTTGTGGATGTAGAGCAGCGTGGCGCCCTCGATGCGCAGCTGCCGGATGGCGGTCTGCACCGCGGCCGCCCGGTTCTTCAGGAACAGCTCGCACGCCTTGGTGGACTGGCCCAGGCGAATGAGCTGGGACACGGCCCGGCGGGTGGCCCGCGGCCCTCCGCGCAGCGAGCGGTCCGGGGACAGCTCGAACACCAGCACGTCCGTCAGCTGCCGGACGCGCTCATCCACCTTGGCCCGCAGCTCCTTCACGGGCTGGCTCGCAGGCTTGTCCGCCAGGTACTCGTTCAGCTTATCCAACAGGTCAACCGCCCCCTCGAAGTCCCGCTGAGCAATGCAGACGTCCAGGTCCTCGGGCAGCTCCTGGATCCACTCAAGTGAGAGGTCAACAACCTCCTCCTCGGCGGAGGGCTCATCCTCCTCCTCCTCGTCCTCATCCTCGTCGAAGGGGTTGGTGGACTCGGGGGGCGCTGGGGCGGGCCGGGGCAGGGCCTCCTGCTCCAGGCGCCGCTTCTCGCTGAGGGCACGGCTGCGCTTGGTCTCCTCCAGCACCTCCAGCCACTCCTTCTTGATCTTGGCGTTCTCAGCCTGGAAGATGCGGCTCTCGGGGAACATGAGCAGTTTGAACATGTCCTTCATAGGCGGGTTGTCCTTGACGTTGACCACGGCCAGCCCGTCGAGGGGGTACAGGGCGTCGTAGCGGTAGGCGCCGCGGCGGTTGGGCAGGGCGGTGGCCACGAGCAGGCAGTCGTTCATCAGGAAGGCGTGCACCCGCTGGATCTGCGCCATGTGGTCCGCGTCGTACTCCACCAGGTCGCCGTTGTAGACCAGGTACTTGCCAGGGCTCTCGGGCAGGAGGTCGCGGCAGCCCTCCACCTTCTCCAGGAGGGTGGTGAGAGTGCGCTGCCGCCCCTCCTCGCTGGCCGCCGCGTCCTTGGCCGACAGCGGCAGGAAGGGGTCGGCGGCGGCGGCGCGGCGGGCGCCCAGCGCGGGGTCGTCGCGGTCGGCCTGGAGGAGCAGGGCCTGGGTGACGGCCTCCATGATGCCCTTCTGCTCGGTGAGGATGTGGCTGAGCTGGTACATCTCGCTCTCCAGGTAGCTGATTTCCCGCGCCGTCTCGATGAACTGCCGGTAGTTTTGGTACACATTGCGCTTCAGGCTCTGCGCCGTCTCCTCGCTCAGCGCCTGGATGCGCTGCCGGTGCTCCTGCAGGTCCCGGTCCCCGTCCGACTGCTGCGACAGCTGCTTCACGTACTCCCCCGCCGCGAAGCCGCCCGACTCCAGCTGCCGCCGCAGCCGGCTCCCGCCGCCGCCCTCGCCCAGCGACAGCGCCATGTCCGCTCGCAGCCGCCGCCGCCGCCGCCCGGTACCCGCCCGGGCGATACCCGCCGCGCCTGCGCCCCGCGGCTGGAGCGGCCGCCTGCGGTGACGGGATGGGGCCGCGCCGGGCGGGGGCGGAGCGGAGGGAAGCGAGGCGAAGGGAAGGGAAGGGAATGGAAGCGGCGCAGGGGATGTTGCCGGCCCGCGCACTCGGAAGGACGCGACGGCAGCGCCCGCGGGGCGGTGCTGCGCGTGCGCCGCGGCGGCTGCGGGTTTCGGTTGCGACGTGTGCCGGCCGACGGAGCCGCGCTCGGGATGGAGGACGAGGATTTCTTGTTGGCCCTCAGGCTGCAGAGGGAATGGGAAGAGCAGGACAAGGCAGCAGCGGCAGCAGCAAAGCGCCCTGATGTCTCTCCGTGCCGCTCATCCCACCGCCCGCTGTCGGTGGTGGACGAGGCGTGGGAGCTGCTGGACCCCAGCCCCGACGTGCACGGCCTGTTCGTGCACTTCAACCAGACTCTCTTCTGGGGCAAGCTGGAGGCTGTCACGGTGTCCTGGAGCCCCCGCATGACCAGGTGCGGCAGCGGGGGATGTGGGCCGAGCTGCCGGGGCTGAGCCGGTCCGTGTGTCCGGGAGCTGCCCGCCGTGCCGGCACCGCGGGGCCGCAGCGTGTGGCTGCGAGTGTCGGGGAGGAGATGTCGCTTGTCTCTCTGTGCTGCTCCTCGCCGTGCCCCGCTAGCACCCCGCTGGTGCCATGGCTTCTCTTCCCGGGCACTTGGATGTTCCGCATCTCTGGCAGAGCTCGTACGGCGGGACATGAGTTGGTCGCTGTCATTGTCTCCCTTGCCTTGCATCTGTCGTCCGTAGCAGCCATCAGTGGCTTTCCACGGGATGCAGGCAAGCTGGAGGGATGTTAAAATGGAAGAAATTACTTGGTCTTAGATGATGTGTGTGGAAGCCTCACATACTCGTGTTGCTGCTCTGGTTCTCAGTTTTTATGATAGTTTTACTGCACAGCAGAAGGGCAAATATGAACCAATAATAGTATATTAGAAAAATTTAGAATGGGCTAGGAAGGGGAATATAGAAGAAATCTGAGGTTAAACAAACCCAGAAATCTTGAAAGTGCAGGCTGCAGTTCTGCAGCAGATGCAGTTGCTGGCAGCTGGAGTCCCACCACCTCGTATCCTCTGCTGGCTGCGGTATTCTTTAGACATTTGGAAATAGTTGGATGTTGTACCGATTGAGGGCTAACTCAGTTGGACTAACACAGACAAAAAAAAAGTGGTGTTTGCTGGATTAGAGCACAGAAGTGGAGGTATATGTAGGTTCGGATTGAGCCAAAAGTTGATGAAGGGTGGGGAGTGAAATTGAAACAACTGCCAATTAAGTCTGCATTTGCTGCCATGAATCTCCAGCCTCTGTGCATTGTATTTTAGTTCATCACAAGTTCTAAAGGAAACATTTTTCTACCTTCAAAACAGGTTTTTCTACTATAAGGAACTTGTGGATATTTTCTTTCTTTGCTTAATGATGCTGAATTTTTCAGGTAACTACTCAAAGTGATTTTATTCCATGTTCTGAGTGACCTAACATGTGCTTACAGGGTATGGCATTTTGACTTAAATTCTCTGTTTTCTTCATGTGCTACAACGAAGAAAGAAACAAATACATTTTCGTATTTTCTTTCTTTTCCTCTCAGCTCTGCTGGTATCTGTTCATATCATGAACGTAGTGGGTTGTGTTCCATTCGTCTCAGTGAGCCGCTTCTAAAGTTACGGCCAAGGAAGGATCTTGTGGAGGTATTTGAACATGGCTTATGAATCTGCACGTGAAGTGTTTTGTGCACACCCCCCCCTTCATACAAACATTTTAGATTTCATAGTGGGATTCTGTTATGCAGTAACTTATAGGTCATAAAATAGCACTGGCTTTACTGTTACATTCATGTGGCTTGTGTTGCAGTACCATGGTAATCTTTAGTTTTATGTTTCTAAGTGGGCAGCTCCAAGTAGAAGTCTAAAGTCACTTGTTTATTTTATTGACTTTATATAGAGAAAATAACCCCCCAGGCTTTTAACTCCACAATTATCCTTTAATATTCAAACCAAACATGGACTATAGTTTTGAAAGGGCCAACAGCAGAAAATAAGGATATAGGTTATGACTTAACATGACATTTTATTGCTTTTGGGCTTCTGCCAGAGTTGCTGCTTTGAGCTGGCTGAACATTCAGATTTGCCTAACAACAGAAATGCTGTAGAATTTCAGCTTGCTCAAAAGTGGCTCTTTTTGGGGGTTGTGTAGGGGATGATGTCTTTAAAGATCCAGTTTAAATTTGAGGATTATTTCTCCTTTTTGGAATGCTGCTTATGGGAGTGATATTATGCAGTGTGTTTTAGTGATGTGGGAATAGGGGTAATTTGGTTTGATAGATCAAAGTATTATGTTTTTATGACCCAGACTGAGTATGTGAATAATCAAAGATTAGATCAGTAACCACAATCAATGTAGAAGAGTACAATACTTGCAGCTTAATAATGAAACTGAAAATGCAATGCTTTTCATTGAATATCTAATGGTTGCATCATTTCAGACGCTGTTGCACGAAATGATCCACGCCCTGCTCTTTGTTACTCATAACTACAAAGATCGTGAGTCTCATGGACCCGAGTTCTGCAAGCACATGCGTCGTATTAATCTCCTGACTGGAGCCAATGTCACAGTAAGAATAATCCTCTTCACCTTCTTTAATAGAGCTTTCTTCTTGATGTGCTGTTTTAGTTGACCGGTGCAGATTAAGTAATGTTCTTATTAGACACTCCACAGTTGGTACCAATACAAATTTGCATCCAAGTGTATGCTAGTTCCATAGTTATTTGTTGGGAATGGTGGTAGGAAGAGGTTGAGGAAGATGTGGTGAGCTGTTAGTCATGTAATTTTTCAGGTATGTTCTCCGTAAGATTTTTTCTTTAAGCTTTTGTGGTAAACTAGAAAGAGCTTCAATGGTATCAGGGACAGAAGTGCTCCATGTGAAGAGCAGTCAAGATTTATGTCAATAGAGGGTCAATATTTCTGTCAATATTTAAAAATAATGTGTCTAATAAGATCAATTAAGGTAATAACTGAAAGGAGAATACAATACTGGTATTGTTTGAAATGCTTTCTAAACAGTACATCTTCTATGTGAAATTGTAGATAGATTTCCAAAATTATCTTTTTGCAGTTCCAACAAGATAACCAGGACATATTCCTACGCTTCCTATCTTTTTTTTAAAGCTTTGTTGATAAATTTTTACTCAGATCTAGCTCTTTTAACTGCTAATATAAAAATCACAGCAGTACTGGAAGGAATTGAATGGAAATGGATTTTTTAAAAAACATTTTAGAGCTAGTGATATAAAGTTTGTAACTTCCTGAGTGACTGTTTTTTTGTGGATTTTTTTTTGTTGTTTTTTTAAATGTAGATCTATCACAATTTTTATGATGAGATTAATTTGTACCGCCAGCACTGGTGGCGGTGCAATGGCCCCTGCCAAAACAGAGCACCTTACTTTGGATATGTGAAGCGCTCAATGAACAGAGCACCCTCTGCACATGACTTCTGGTGGGATGAACATCAAAGGACGTGTGGGGGCACGTTCACAAAAGTGAAAGAGCCAGAGAAATTCTCAGAGAAGTCCAAGCAGAAAACTCAGACAGCAAAACCTCCACATTTCAAGTCAACTAATGAAGGTATTTTATGATTTTGTTTTTCTTTTCTGAACTGACTTTTGTCCAGACGTTTTCGTGAATGAATATAGACCAAACACTACATAAGCTTGGTTTTGATGTTACTGTTACATAGCCAAAGAACAGGGCCTTTTGTTTTTGCACTTCTAGGCTGCTCCTCAACTGAATTGTCTACAAAATGTTTAATTTGATGCATTATTTTCAAGCAGCAGTTTTTTTTTTGTGAAGAACCTCAAATAATAAGCCCATGACTTTTAAATGAAAATATTAATTTATTTTTTAATCTGATTTTGCAGGCAAGACACAAATGCATGGTAATTGCAAAGACCTGACTCCTTTTAGTGGAACGGGATATCGGCTTGGAGGAGGAGGCGGTGTACTTTCAGAGAAAAACACAAATGCCAGCAGCTCCACTGCAAACAGTGAAGCACATGGCTCACTGCATCATTCAGCAGTAAGGACACCACCAATCCCTAAAAATGAGATAAAACTGGAAAAATTACCCCATGGCAGTATCTTTCCGCTTCATACCAAAGGTGCCGCTGAGAAGAGCAGCTTAGCTTTAAAGAGTGAGTTTCCAAAACTCTCTGCTGCTCACCCAGAAGATGATGAGAACGACTGTGGATTGCCTGCTAGGATGGCTCGTGTTGCTGAAGAAACATCAAGCCAAGGCTCACCAGTTGGCAAGAGGGCTATGCCATCTTCTAACTGGTCACCAAAACGAATTTGTTTGGAGCAGACCCCAAGAGCTCAGGGTGCATCTGAGAAAAAAAGCTTAGAATGTGTTAATACACTGCAGCAATGGCCAAAAAAGGAAGACAAAACGGCCTTTGAAAAGTATTTCAACAAAAAGGGGGCTACTGATGTCACTACAACTACAAAAAACAGAGTTGAACTTTCACAGTCCTCTGCAAGTCCTAGCAATCCTGTGAGGCAGGAGAGAAGAGTCACTTGTCCTGTCTGTGAGACTGATGTTTTGGAATCTAAAATAAATGAACATCTTGATTCTTGTCTTTCGTAGAACAGCAGAAAGTTTCTTAAAAAGATAAACCAGGGCTGGAAACATCGTTTGAAAGGTAGTTTTTGCTCAGGGTTTGCTTAGCTGTGGTTAAACTCCGTGTACCTGCTCTGAAGTGGAATTTAAAATGTAGCTGACCTCCATATCCTCACATTGGTAAGTAAAAATTGTGTGGAATGCTGCTAGGAATACTGGTAAAGACTGTTCCTAGGCATGTCGTAAAAGCTTTCATGATTTTCCAGTTAAACTTTCTTCAAGTGCTATACAGGACAAATGATGATTAAAGTGACATTACCTGCCAGTCTTTGTTTTGCTTCCTCTGGAAGGCAGCCACGTTCGTGGTTAGCAGGCCGGTCAGTTGAGCACTAAAGCCATTGTGCCATGAAAAGTTATGAGTGCCAGGCACATGTGAGCTTCCTGAAATGTTCTCTTGTTGCACTAAGGTACTTAATGGGTTAAGCATTAAACAGTGTGATTCCTTACAATAAGTAAAACTGATTGTATATTTGCTTAAACATAAAAATAGTTTTATATAAATAACTATTAAGCAATATTGTTTTATATCTTGTTACTGGAATTTTAAATGGCTATACATGTTTACAGTATTACTGCTGTTCCCTTAACTAATTTTAAATGCTTTATATCTTTAAAAATGTTGACACTAAGTTTTAAAAATATTGCCACTAAGTTAAATGTAAATTGCTTTGTTCTTGCATACTCTGAATAAATTGTTACTGAAGTTTAAATTTCCACTAAGCCTGGCCATTTTGTGTCACTTAACAGTGGGTTCACCTGATTATAACAGTCTTTCAGTATTAGCACTTTTCCTTCTTAAATTTCTCTGTAAAAATAGGTGCTGGTGAATATAGATTGCATCAACTGCTGCTATCTCCATCCTGTTTTTAAAACAGTTTCACTATTGTTGCACTTCTGTGAAAAAATTTATGAATACTGATAGTAAAACTTGCTTTGCCATGTTAATTTTCAGTACTTCCTTCTTAAAGCTGCAGCCATCTATCAGTGTTTCCAGTGATACTTGACATTTTCAAGGACAGAACTACCAGGAAATATTTGTATGATCTTATGTTTTTAAGATGAGGGTGAGAGTTGCACCACAAAGCATCTCTCACATCATGAAGCATTTTTTAGAGATTTCCATTAAAATTGCTCTCTGCAGTTTCCTCATTTGTCTTTTCTACTGTGACAGATGTGGTGAAGGAGAAGGATTGTGGGTATTGTTAAAGGTGGGGATTTTTCCTAATGTCTTATTTTACTTCTGAATTTGAATGACAAACAGAAAACAAATGAAGAATTTAGTGACTAGTGTAGCCTGTTGAGGGAGGGGGGAATTCAAGCTGTAGGCAAATCTGTCCTTCATATACATGGCCTAAAATAGATCATTGTCCAAACAATTGAGCAATTCTGGATTAGCTATGGAAAAATAGCACCTCTGTCATGTGTTTTTACAAGGAAGTATTCTAAATCTCTTTTATCCAGAGAGGAAGGCTTTGCAGTTACTATTTATTGCAGGCTGTTATTTTAGTGGGTCATGGCCACTTTCATTTTGGGTATGTTACTACAAGTGCTGTTTCTGTAAAATGTTGTGCTTGCACACAGTGTCCTACCCACAGGGATAACAATGACTACCAGTATGTTTTTTAAATATGCTGCTCAATTTGGGTCAAAGATGAGAAATTTCATCCTCTCTATCAGTTATCTATGTCCTTGAGTGGGTTTAGACACTGCCTGGAACAACACAAGCTGTCAATGTTGAGCCTTGAGCAAACACACTTCACTGAAATGCAGCGTAAGTTGCCTGAATGGAAATTTTCAAAACAAGTTAATAGACTCAATTTCTGAGGCAAAGCAGCTATGAAGGAGGGTCAAGCGTGTGTGTGCATTTTGTCAATAGAAGATTCTGCAAACTAAAGGAAAAAGCCATCTCATTTTGTGGTGACCTACTAGGATTGCTTTGGATAATTCAGAGATGAGTTCCAGAGGTTAAAACTACCTAAGTGGGGATTACTTGGCCTTTTCATTATTATCATAAGAGACTGCTCTTCAGTTACCTTGAAACTGGTTATTAGGCAAGAAATCCTGAAGGCCACATATTAGCAAGTATTTTTTACTTTATGGAAATGTTGTCTAGGAAGTTTTCATAATACTTGAGTTCTGATGAAGCAGTGGGAAGAATTTTTATCAGGGCTACTAAAATGTCTAATACATTTTATTTATATATTGCAAGAACATATACAATATAAATAGTGTGTTTTAGAACATATTTTAACAGCAGTAGTGTGTGTTCATGTCTCCTTTAGTCCAACCCTTTTTTGTTTCCACCTGGCATAAGTGGGTCACATGGCAGAAGTGTATTCTCACAGCCAGTTCAACCCTAATGCCTGTGCATAAGCTGATGAGGAGGCTATTTCCATCTAGGTGGAAGCAGGCCCCTCAGGCAGGGCAAGCCTGTGGAACCAGGAACTTGTTACTTGAGCCCCCTTTGCAGGAACATTTTCCAAGAGAACAACCAGAGAAATATTGCTCATTTGCTGTGCTACCTGCCTCTGGGTCAATGTTATGAAGGTCACCAGGTAACGATCTAGTACAAAATTAAAGGCTAGATAGGGCTTTGTCATAACTGGACAAGAAGTGAATCATAATTCCTGAGGTGCAAAATAGCTACTCAAACTTCAAACTTCCCTTGATGCAGCAGGAGGACACTAAATGGCTTGTGAGGGTTTTCTTCCATGTGTGTTCTTCTGAAGCCCCTCAGTTCTGCATTTTCCGTACACACGGCATCTCTTCAAGTAAAGCAAGATACACTTTCCTGAAGGGTTAACAGCAAGAAGGAATCAACAAGTTTCTGAGGAAAAAGACTGATGGACGATGGACGTCTCCTTCCAAGTGGATGGAGCAATCCATGGTGGTGGTGGGATGACCCAGGCTACTCTGGCTGGAGAATGGTGAAGAAACTGCCACCACAGAGGTTTGCTTCAGCACTGCTGGGTCTGGTCATCCTAGAACACCACGTCTGTGCCTTTTGTCCAATCTTCTCACCTTAAATTGAAAGGCCACTAAAAGGTTACACCTGGCCTGCATTGCCCTATGAGCATGTTTGTTGCAGCCTGACGTGGTGAAGGCAGCAGTGCAACCACTGGTCTCCAGCAGCTGCTCCTAAAAGAGAACCAGGATTCATCAGTTTTACATTCCAAACTGAAATACCCAAGTTCTTACTTGCATCTGGATTACTGCAGCTGTCTTGAAGCCCTGGGATTTAAGAAACTATTTAAAAAATATGAATATAAAGACTCTGCATAAAAATTACCCTTGAAGTGTGGTCTGTGGGCAGACAGGCCATGAAAGAGACTCGCATTTCACTATATGTGAAAATACGTGTGTGTGATTTCATGGATTCATGTGTATGGAAAAAAGCCAAGACCCCAGGGCTTTGTGTGGAGCTTTGGGATCCCTCAACAGGCCGTTAGGTGGCACTCCTTGCATGTAAGGAATTCTTATTTTGTCCTAACCTGTCCGGGGATAGAAGAGTGCAGGACTGCAGGCTCGTATTTCCTCTACACTGCACTCCAGGCTGAACGTGGACCAGCAGCAACGCTGACAGGACCACAAACAAGCTAAAGGATGGTGGGGGGGAAATGTCTGCAACTAGCTGGGAAATGAAAAGTAAATATACAGCTAACTAGATTCTATGAGTGATTCTTTGCTGCAAGAATGACTGGGAAGATGAGAGAGGAGCTCGTTTTTCCAGTTCAGGGCTCAGGAGTAAGCCCAAAGGCATCCTTTTGTGGGTTGCAGATACCACACTGCTTGCATCCGTGGCAGTGACAAAGTTAATTTCCCGACATGTTTGGCATTAACACAGCTCTGCAAGAGATGCAGGACAGAGTTTTAGGAAGTAAGGGGGGTTTTATAAAACACAGAATTCCTGTGCCTCGGCTAAGCCAGGGAACCAGAGGGGTGTAACAGGCCCAGGGAGGGATAGTGTACTACAGGTGTGAAAGCTTAAATGGGACGTGGCCATGGCCTTAATTCCTATTTCCTTTTAGCTTCTGCCAGGCCAGGCTGCTTTAAGACTAGATTAAATTTCTAAGCAGGTGCAGCAGCTTGTCCTCAATAGCTCACCCTGTCTCTGTTCCATCCATCACCTTCCATTTACATAATTTCACCTGCTTTTCTGCCTTAGTATGTCTTGGACATGACACGTCCTAAACTGGATAACAAAGAATTTTTGAAGGGGCAAAACCCAACAAGTCAAGTATTTGGCTTCACCACTGCTTAATTTAAAAGCAGATCTTGCTTTATTTTTCTTTAACTGATGTCAATCTCTGGATCATAGTTTTTATGTTTACTGCAAGTACCTTCTTTTCAGAGAGATGTTACTAGTGGCATAAAAAGTCTGGGGCAAGATGTGGGCTAGAGCTCAGTGAAGGCCTGGTACAGGATATGGGCTATAGGAATATGGTGTAGTTGGAGGTTTTAGTTATTCTTGTGGCTTCAGTAAGCAATTTAAAATGGCAGGAATAGCCATAGGGCCTCTCTGCTCTTACCCCACTTTCTCCCCACTGCTTTGCTGCCCTGCCTTTGTCTTCCCACTAAAATTGGTCTCTTCCCTGGAGCATCCCAGTAATGATCTGCTGGGAAGGTGTTGTGTTTGGAGGCAGGCACAAAGCTGAAGTGGAAGGTGCCCTCCTGCAGATGCTGGTGCAGTCTCTGCAGGGTGGGACAGGTCCTGGCTGCAGCACCAACAGCAAGAAAAGCTCCCTGGTGTGTCACAGGACCACAGGGCTGGGCACAGGCTGCTCCAGGTACTGCGGCTCTGGAGGGACACGGCACGGATCTGGGCTCTTCTGGCAGCTGGCAAACAGAAACATATCCAAAGGGAAGAGTCATCCCGAGGATAAGCCAGCACCCCAGGGGCTTCAGAGAGGATAGCACCTGTACCAGGTGGAGAAGGGATAGCTGCAAGTAAAGGACTCCGGTCTTAAATCTGCTGTGTTCCCCAGGATACGCTGCTAAGAATCCTTTGGGTTGTTCCTTTGATTTATATTTAGCAGTACCAACATAGGAAATGAATTTTAAAAAGAGAAAAAATTTTCTTTCAGCAAGGGTGGCTGAACATGGGAACAAGTTTTCTGTAGAGGTTGTATAGTGTCCATAATTGAGGATACTCAAATCCCAACTGGACATGGTCTTAGGCAGCCAGATTTGGGTGACCTTGTTGAAGGGCAGGAGAACTGGACCAGACTAACTTCAGGAGCCCCTTCCCACATAAACAGCCCTGGGTTTCCACCTAACAACCCCAGGAGCACCTCAGGTCAAATTGAAATTACAGCTGAAGGCAATGAAGGTTCTCCTGTTTGCCCTTGCCCTGGTATATCCCAGAGGTGCTCACACCATCTCTGACCATTTCCAGCTGTGCATTTCTTCCCCTCCCCTGGCAGCTCTCATCACTGCCCCCATGCAGACTGTGGGGATGGGGGATAACTCTCCTGTCACATGGATCAGAGACTGGGGGACTTAAGGCAGGAGCTGGGCAGGTGCCATGACACAGGGACAGGTACAGGGAAGCTCTGCCCTGACAAGCCTAATTGCTGAATCCTCTCCAAGTCATGCTTTGGGGGGGAGGATTATCAGCCCTGCAGACAGCACGAATGAAAACTCAGACTTAATTAACTTTGAATGACTCTCTAAAGAGATTTAGAATGCCAGAAAAGCATCCTGTGAGAGGAACTAGGAGGTATATCATACACTGCAAACCCCTAAGTCTATCCAAGCTATCAGGCAGCATTTCCCAGGTGATATGGCAGAGTTAAGCAACTCTTCCAAGAGGTCTCACTGCTGATATTTGGGCTTAGGCTTGGGCCATTAAATGCAATGTTGCTGAAGCAGACATACATCCCAAGTGGTAAGCAATGCCATGACTTTGGAGCTGTTTGCAAGGTGTTACAGACACAAGCATTAAACTCAAGCATCCTCTGAAGGAATGGGGAGCCCTCAGTTTGAAGGAATAAACTGAAAAGTTACCTTAATGCCACCTTCCTTTTAATCCCTGTACAGGTCCCAGAAATGTTATCTTCTCCAAGAGAATTCTGCAGCAGCACACTCCCACCCTAAACCAATGCCTTGCATCCTCAGCTGTGCACACCCTGAACCACAGAGAGGCTGCAGTCAGTCCATGCACACTCTACAGCAGATATAGAGGGAAACACTGCATTAACTTCTTCAGGGAGAGCGATGGGAGGCTTCTGCTGTTGGGCAAGCATCCTCACCCAGCTATGAATTGTTACAGGATGGGTAGATCCCATCCCTCAGCGTGTTTTCACATGTTGATGTGGGTGTGTGCTGAAGTGACACCATTTTTAGGAGACTGGCAAACAGATGTCCTGTCCATGAAACCTACAACAGTTTTTCAGTCTCCTTCTCTCTCTCTCTTCAACAGAAAGACTACCCAAGTCTGGTGTGAAGCTGTTGCTGGGTGGCTGTTGCATGGTTAAGGGACTCTAAATGCAGTGCCAGGTGATGGGTACGTTTCATGAGCTGTCACGGTTCAGCTGTGTCATGTATAACCTCACCACCTCTGCAAAGGACAAGGAGCAATTCAAGGTTAGTTGGCCTTCCAGAGACGGCAGCTTAGTACACAGAGCTTTTGTCAGACAGCACCAACTCAGGGCAGGCAGCAGCACCAGCCAGAGCCTGTGCTGCCAGCCATGATTTGGTAGCCACTATTCTCAAGGCATTTTGTGCAGCCAGAGCGTGGGTAGCACCTGACCACCTGGAAAGGCAGCCAGCGGACATGACCAGCTGTCATCCCAGAAAAAAAAACAAACCCAAATGTTTTCCTCAGCCAAGCATGCTACAATTTACTCTAGCCCCCACTCAAGGGTCACAGCAGTAGAGAAAGGCCTACAGCTCATTTGACAGCAGGTGGGACAGTGCTCAGGGAGCCCTGGAAGAATGCAAAAGCACTGGGGTAGCAGGGGGCCAGAGAGGCCCTCAGGCACATGTGGGAGCAGAAATGGCAAGCGCAGGTTGGAAGCAGAGCAGCTGCGCTCCAGGCACTCTCATATAAGGGAATGAACAAATTTGCAAACCTACTGTAACACTGGAGGTGTAACCACCCCCTTCCCCACTCCTCCATCCCTGCCCCGGTGGATTTTTGTGTCAAATAGCATCCTCTCCCTCTAAGAGAGCGGTGTGCCTCTGTCACCTCTGGGACACAAAGAACGTGGTTTTTTGTGACACAGCGGGACCCCACCCGCTCTCTCTCCAGTCCCACAAGCCTGAAGCATTTCTGCATCCCCTTCCTGGTGTCCTAGTCACATCCCGGCCAAGCTGGCCCCCTGCTCCCCACCTGCCCTCTTGGATTTGTATAAGCCTTGGGTTTATCATGAAATACGTGCCCTCCCTCCTCATCTCACTGCATAATGTTTCATGGTTGCAGAGCTACAGCAACTCTCAGCTACATACAGTCATTTCCTAATGTGCTATTTTAAATAAAGGGTTTAAAAAAATTAAAAAAATAATCAAACAGCTATAGTATTCTTAAAGTGGGAACAGGTGGGAAAAAATAAAACAAGTCAAAGAAGTTTCAAAATTGCTGTCTACAGGAGTTCTAGATACAAGAGATATTTAGGATTGAAGAGAGTTAACTTTGTACAGTTTCTGCTTGTTCATTAAAATATGACTCTGCAGAACTAACGTCCAGCACGATATTACTCACTATTATTGTGGCTGGGGAAGGGGAAGCGAAGGGAAAATAAATATGCCTAATGTGACAGCTCAAACTTTGCTCTTTGCTATCAAGAACACCATCAACTGGACTCCAATCTCAGATTGTTATTACCCACAGCCCTTTGGCAGACATTAGTGGTGTCCACAATCTCATTTTCCACGAGGAAATATTCTCTTTGACGTCCAAGGATGTTCTCAAGTGCTCCTATAAAAACAGTTCTGAAGTACAGAAAAAAACAGCTCTGGTACAGCACTCAGCAACATTTTACTTTTCAGATCTAGGGGTGGTGGCATTTGATTTTTTTCTATAGTGGTTATATAGTGCAGTATCTTACTGCATGAAAAAAATTCTCAGGATTCCAACAGCCATTAATTCAGCCCCAAAATTCTAGTCTCCTTCTGTTCCTTAGAGCCACCACCATGCCTTCTGCTATAATGCAATCTTTTTAAATAGATTTATAAAGCTTGCTCACATGCAGTAACGTAAGCAAGACACATTTACAACCAAAATGACTTGGCTTCAGACACTTTTGAGAGGTTTTTATTCTTGGCTTTTTGGTTGACCCTTGCTTTCTTTAGGTAGCAAAATACAACTCACAACCCAACACGATATTCAGGCATTAGGCTTTTCATTTGTGAGTAGGAGTCAAATCTCTACACTTTAGTTATGATGGCTTCATCTTTTTGCTTTTAAATAAAATAAAATAGAATTGTATCAGCCCTCGAAACAAATCCAGGAGAGGAACTGGTTTCACCCTTGCAAACTACACTGACACAAGACAGACAAGCCTACAAGGAGAACTGAATATTCAGAGGTGAAATTTTACTTCCCGTCTCCAACAGTATTTTAAAGAAATAATGAATTTCAGTTCAGACACTGCCCTGAAGCGTGCACCTTTTATCACAGCTTGCCTGGGTGTGATCCTGGTGAAGTTGTTTAAGTTGTTAAGCCCATCTCTTTGTTTTACATCCCTTCCACTCTGATGTGAGGTATGCCCTGCAAATTTTTAGCCATATGAAAAGGACAGCACTAGTCTTAGAGGCTAAACGAGCCAGTCGCCACTTCTAGCATTTATCGCCACGTTATATACAAAGGTAGTAACAGTAATTTCTCCAGAAGACCCCATAAACTATTACCACTAGAAGTTTAATCCCAAGGTGCATATTTAATAAGAGGAAAGTCCAACAACTTACTTTTGGAATACAGACAAGTAAACCAGTTCCTAGTGCAAGTAAAGTTATGAACATCTCTTCAGAGATAAAAATATGCTTGTTTGCAACACACACGCATGAAGGATGGATGGGGTGCATCAACTGTCTTTTCAGAGACAAATATATTGTGCATTCTTTTTCCCCACACTTCCATGTTCCTCTCAAAGCAGACACCTATAGTATATTTTAAATTGGACTGTCCCATATTCCTCATACCCACCCAACATGTTGTATCTTGGTCTCATGTACCAGTCTCTTCACATCCTACTTTATCATTTCTATTCAACTCATTACTTCCTCCTCCCTCTCCTGCTAAAGACTTGAGATTATCCCCTATGGGCTGGCAAGTTACATCTCATGTGTTCCTTCCACTTTTAGAGCCAACTCATTTGGGAGCTATGAGTTTGGGGTTCTTTTTTCATATTTCAGGAAAGGAATAAATGTTCTGTATATTCACTCAACTTCAAAGCCATCAAAACCTTGATGAAACTCAGTAAGCGGTAGTAAAAGTCAACAAAAGTTCTCTGGAACTGCTTTTGTCTGGTAGGAGAGAGGACCTTGAAACCTGCTTCTGTCAGCTGCAATGCACCCCTAATAGACAGGGTCAAGCAACTCTGATGCAGCAGAGTTTGACTTTGGTACATGTGCAGCAATTACTTACAGTCAAGCTTGACATGTAAAAAAAGAAAAAAAAAAAAGCTGACAACGGGAGCTGACAAAGTTCCATACTTTGACCCCCATCCCCTCCAAACAGCAGGTGAGATCCAAATCCAGCTAAGACCCCTGAATTTCTTCAAAGTCTTTGCTGCTCAGTACTCACAAATTCCTCTTAAGTATTTGCAAGAGCATGCAGCTATCTGCATGCCTGCAGGCAAGGTACAAATGTGAGACTCCTGAAGTTTTGCGACTTTGAGTTTGCTCTTGTCACTTGGCATTCTCCCCTCTCCTTCAAAGCATTCAGCATACACAGAAATGGCACTTTTCAGTCTGGCCATACTTACCAGTATGATGGAGATGTGATTTTTCCACTCCTGACCTTGAAGTGGTCACCAAAGCCAGATGTTTTACATATTATACAGGCTGTCAGCTCTAAAATCTGCAAATGTTTTTTCTGAGAAACACCCAAGAGAAACACTTAATTTTCCCTAGTGCAGAGTTTGAATTTACAAGCAAAACAATCCCCCTGCATATTGTGCTCAACAATGTGGTAATTTAAAAAACAAAACAAAACTCAAACCAGGTCTACACAGGATGGTTGCAAGAAAGGCTTCTTCCTTGTTCAATGTAAAACTAGGATGGGGAAGATGTACTTTCATGAGAACTTGTAAGAAGTTATACAGCACTGAACATGGAAAAAGCTTCAAAGCAATTTACCGTCAGCTCAATGCTGCTACACTTGTGTTTCAACCTAAAAAAATGCCAAGACCCATCACCTTTGAGCAGAAATGAGCACAACTGGCACCCAAGTGCTGTGAAAGGTGCACTAATGCTGGAGACTCATCTGAAGATCCAGGAAGCTCTTTCTGAACTAGCTGAAGACAGACAAACAACATGCAGGGGGCTTCACAAAAGCTAGAGTGATGCCAGAGGCACAGCCAGACACAGTTTCCTTGATAACCATAGAGTCACTACAAAGCTCGTCAAAAGAGCAGGAATATTGTGTGCTATCTCTTACAGTTTTGTACCTGCAGACTCTACCATTCTTCTGCCCCCTCTCAAGGGACCGTAATTCATTGGAAGCCACGTAAAACTGAGGACATCCCATTAAACCTTACAAATCCTGTTTGAATGTGACTTATTCTGTACCTCATATACCTGTCCAAAGTGGTAAAAAAACTAGAGCTGACTCTACATCATAACCACTCTTCAGAAAGCCTAAAAAGGGTCCTGTTCTTGAGGGAGGAAATCATCAGGAAAATGGTGACCACACCCAGGTAACTGTAGGTAGTCTAGAGAAAAAAAGTCCCAGATCCTTCTCCAGAGCAGAAACAGCTCTGATTAAAAAAATAACAGAAAACAGCAAACTGAAACACACCACTAAAAAAAAAAAGAAACCCACCAAAAACATAGCAACAAAAAAAAACCCCAAAAAACCAAAAACAAACAAAAATCCCAACCAAACACCCACAACAAAGCAACCAAAATTCCACATATCCCCTTTATCAGGAGGCATTCATAACTTAGTTGCTACAGAGTAGTTTTAAAAGTTACAAAGATTACAAATAACCACATAGTTTTCAAGAACCTTTATACATCATCTTTTTTAATTAGATTAGCTTTACAAGCAACTTGAGGAGCTCTTTCATAATGAACACTGCTTTTGAAATTACACAACTTTATAGGCAACCTGTAAATGAATCCTGAATTTCTTTGCCTGCTATAGATAAAGGTCTCATATTTCACAGCCAGCTAACATCATGAATAAAAATAGCATTATGAAGCTTTATTTTTAACCAGGACTAGACACATACAGATCATAAGACAGTTTAAAAAATAGTTTTAAAACAAGGACCTGCTTGGTGATGCTCAAGACTGAATATTCAACTGACATGAAATGAACAGTTTCTAAAGGACATGGAGAAATGGCTGACCTGATTTGTTGACCCTGTTGTAATGACTTACATGGAGTGAAAAATTAAGCACTTTTTAAACCTGTCTGGCAAGCACAAACCTACAATGTGATTAGAATTTGATACGCTGTTTAACTGCAGCGGTTTGAATTACAGAGGGACTGAAATGACTTTAAAGGCTTATGCTTACATTTCTAAAACAAAACCAAACCTCTGTTAAAGGAGTACTAATGAAGATGAAGTCGAAGAGGTGACTTTTTTGCTTGTTTCACTGGTAGCCTAAAAGCACTGCAGACCAGACAGTAATGAAGATTTGCACTCCTTGGCCAGGTTGGCAGAGGCACTTACAGTAAAGGTATCCTGTCTGTTTTACTGGGAAGAAAAGAGGAAAGAGGAAGAGAACTGTACAGGGCAAGAACTTACTAAAAAAAGGAAAAGTGAAATCAAAACAAAACTGGGATTTCTGTTGGTTCTCCTAAATTACATACCAATACTGAATTTTTCTCCCCTTCTGTCAGTTTGTTACTAAACAATTAGCTTTTTCATGTTTTACATGAACAATAGTAATGTTTTTAATAAAAAATTACTGAGCTTTCCATAGAAAGGGTCTTTAATTGAATACAAACTATACAGATGCTAAAATTGTCACAAGTTGTAATATATACAGAAATATTTCTGTACACTCACATTGTTTTGGCTAAGTAAGGAAATAAGGGACAGATAGAAAACTGCAGTGGGTAAGGTGAACAACCCCCAAACTCCTGTAAATGTGAATGCTGTCTTTGATAAGTTTGCTTTGTTTTCTCAAGCTTTTAAAGCTCAGGGAAAAAAAAAAAGAAAGAAGAAGAAGAAAAAAAATAAAATCTGTGTCCAAAACATCCATTTCTTAAAAATAAGAAGATCACAGCTTCTGCACATCTCACTTTTATTCTGTGATATCCCATCTTCTGGATAAAATAAAAACAATGTAAAAGAAAGCAAATGTTTCCTTACTAAATATATACCTCAATATTGATCAATAGGCCTTTTTGGGGAAATCCTTCAGCAACAGTGAAAATTTAAAGATGTATTATTGCACAAGGAGCCTACAGAGTGATGCACTTCAGCTTCAGTGTGCTGACTACCTCCTTGATACTATATAATAGATCAAGGTGTCAACTTACAGTCTGCATGGGACACCAACATTTGAAAAGGAAATTTAAAAAAGTGAATTTTAGATATTCTATTAACTTATATACAAAGGAAAGGGGGGTGGCAAGTATCTTTTAGAAAAGGGAGAAAGCTCAAAAATTTCTGTCAAGTAAGTAAGGAGGTTCTGGGTACCTCTAATAGCCTAGGAAAGCCCTTGTATATTCTTGTAACTTGATGGCATTTACTAGGTCCCCAAAGCCAATGACATCAACCGATAGTGTCACGCTCACTTAGTGCCAGTCACTTAAAAAATAAAAAAAACCAACTAAACATCCCCCCTCCAAAAATAAAGAAACCAAAGAAAAAAGAAGAGAGACAGAAACTTCCCCTCTGTGGATTCAACATACAAAACCACAAACTGAATGTTACTAATAGCAAGATACTGATTTGCTTTTGTTAATAAGGTTCAAGAGAACATAGTCAAAAAAAACAAAAAACAAAACAATACAGCAGCAATCTTTAAAAGTTAAGATTAGTGTGAGATATGATATAAAACAATCAGATTTTTAGCTGGTAATTAAAGTGCTCCTTTTCTGAATTAAGTTGTAAAAAAAAAAATTAAAGTGATTATCAGTTACTGGCAACCCTTACATTAAATTAGGTCTTTCATGGCAGAGGAGAACAGTATGAACAGTTTTACAAAAATAGATCCATGTTCTATTGGAGAATACTGTAATTTTTTTCCTTTTTATCAGTTTTTCTTTTTTTTTTTTTTAAGACTCAATTTTGATAAACTGTACCTGGTCATACAAAAATTACCCAAAATTCAAACTTTTACCATATAAAAAAAGGGAGAGATGAAATGGATTCAGCTGGATGACAGGTCTGGCAAAATATAAGGATGGACAAATTCTATGTAGGGCACTTATTTATGTCCAGATGCATATGGTGTTTCTTACTGATTGCTTATCTTCTTCACATAAGCAGTCACAGGCCTGGAGTCACAATCACATAGTACAATGCTTCAGCAGTCAAAGAACCTTCTTTTTGATGCAACATTGAAACACTGTTTGCTTCCATATTAAGATGTTGGTTGGTTTGTTGTTGATTTTCCTTTATCTTGTTATTCACATTCAAAAGTTAATAGATAGCATCAAGATTTATCAGGGCGAACAGCAAGGGGAGTTGCTAAATCAAAGGCTTATAAAACATCTTTCCCAACTGAGTCAGAAGGTTTATTAAGTTCAACCCTCACACCTTTTTCACCTGCAGAAATATGAAAAGGAAAATGGTATTTTTCAGCATTTATTGAAGTACAGTCTAACAGTCTACATCACTTTCCAGAATAAACTATCAAAACACAGTATCCCATAAGCAAGAAAAACTCACATATATTCTGCATGGCTTCAGTTAGACTGACACTTATCCAAAAAATGAATAGGTTTCTATTTTATGACATTTTATTCTATAATTTCATGTATTATTGTCAGCAGAAAATGAATTGCATCTGGCACAATTCTGGCTGCAGATACAGAGTAAAGAATGCAATTATAATTGTAAATGAAAACTGAAACCACAACAATATGGTAATTTAAACCCATTACAAAGAAAGCCAATACTGAAGGAGGAAGAATTTATTCACAGAAAGGGTGATTAAACATTGGAAGAAGCTGCACAAAAAGGTGGTGGAGTCATCATCTCTGGCAGCACCATCTCAGTGCCATTTGTGTCTCGTGTCTAGTTGATAGGGTGGTGTTCGGTCATAGGTTGGATTTGATGACCTCAGAGGTCCTTTCCAACCTAACTGGTTCTGCGATTCTGTGAAATTTAAACAACCCAGCCTTCCTTCCTTAAATGCCTGCTGTTTAGGGGGACCCTGGAAAGGGAGGTGGGCAGCACTTTCCCTTAAGGCTTGAGTGCCCCCCAACCATTTCTTCACAGTCCCTTTGAAAGGGCAGCAGCTGAAGCTGTGCAGAGGCAACAAAACAGCTCTGATCCAGCAAGGCTGACCCCAGGAGCTGCAGAGTTGCACACTTGTGACATGAAGGCCAGCTCTGAGACAGACAGGCTTCCCGTGGAGGCCCAGCAGGCTGACTGGGAAGCCAACTGTTCCTTGCCAGGCATGTGCCACCAAGCAGCGGGACAGCCTGCCCAGCTGGAGCTAAGGGGCTCCCTTTGAAAGCCAGGCAGGAGCTGCACTGCTCCTGCCACTCCCAAAAAGCATGGGTCACTGAGAGCACCAAGAGGGGCTGGACTGAACTGCACACAGCTCTGGGCTGCTTAGGAGCTCCAGACAGCAATGAATGAAGTCTCAGCTGGAAATGACTGGCACACATTTTCAACATCACTGGTTTCAGAGCTCTTGACAAAGCCGTGTTCGTGTGTGTGTACACTTGCTCTACACCTGATTTTGGTTTATTTTTAAACTATTGTAACAAACAAAAAATTGCAATTACAAGCATGACAGAAGTCCTAGGCCATTTCTCCTTATAATGCTAATTTGAACAGGAAAATTAGATCAACTTCCTCTTGGTGGAGAAGCCAGAGAAGGAAAACAGATGCTAGATGGGTGAAATTGGAAATGAAGGAAGTCCATTCTTTGATTACAGATTTTAATTTTAGGCTTCTGTTTTTCCAATATAAAAATTCTAGTCAAGTAAAGTTGTATTCACTTGTTGAATCCCTTTATTCGATCAAAACTATTTCAATAGCTCTCAGTTCTGCAGTACCTTACAGTCTCTGGTGTATTTATCCTCCACACATATTAGGGACACAAGAGTAGGGAGAAACTGTATTCCCCACATAAAAATACTGAGCAGCCTCAGGTCTCAGAGGAAGTATAAGCAGGACAGGCATTGACCTGGATTTCATTAATCAATGCCCAGGAGTTTAATCTCTGGGTCACCTCCCCTGTAAAACCTAACTTGAGTTATGCCACTTTCTCTCTCTTTTTGTGTAGAGAGTGGTCCAAGGAGATAAGGCTAGACTTCCCTACTCTTCCACAAAAAAATAACGATATTAAGAGGAGCTTACCTGTTAGATATTTCACTTTAGCTCGTGCTCTTTCATCTGCATCAAAATACCACACTGTTATTGCGTACCTAGGGAAACAGAAGAAAAAAGAACTCCTGAACTATGAAGCAAAATACCAGTGAAACACTTGACATGAAACACAACCTAAATTAGATGATACTTCCACATCTGACAGAGGAAAGTTTTCATAAAGCAAGCAGTGGGTTTTGGTTTTTTTTCCTACTGGTAGCTATTATCTGAAAAGTCACTGAAAGGGTGACACTGATGCTCTAAGTTTACACTCTTTTCCCGTGTGAGTTGCTATTTATGGCTCT